TTGAATGAATGCCTTTTATTACAGCAAGCTGAAAAGCACAGGTGTTAATAAGAAAACTAGCAACGGATCCATTCTGCTCAAGAGCCCTAGTAACCCATGACAGTTTGACAGCAAGTCAGCACGCACCAAAGCAGTACAGAGAATTCAGCTATCAGTAATTAAATTATTCAAACCTGTGAATATATTTTGATTATAAACATTGTTGTTATTCTGATGCCAGAGCTGGTTAACACTGTCTGGAAGTGAAATAACACAGGATGATACAGCTGCAGAAATCCAGCTTCAAACAGCACTGGTCCAGGCTCAATCCAAGTTATGGCGCTATATCGGATTTGACTGAAGCCTCATGAATAAAGCTGTTCATAAAGTCTTTTAAGGAACATCTGTGAATTGAATACAACTGACAAACTGGCACATCTCTTTCTAGCGCCCTATGAAGCCAATGGCTGGTAGCCTGCTGCTGCTTGACCTGCCTGACAGACTGAGCCAATGGTCCTGTACAGTTTGTCAGCTGGAAACTCTTAAATGTCTTTTTAAAGTTTTAATCTGCCGTTCTTCATAAATATAGGCTTCAGCAGAAATAACCAAAAAACTTGAATTCACACAATACTGAACACAAGCATCTCAAGAATGAATTCTTCATCACAATGGTTAGGCCTGTTAATTCCCATCCAGATATGCCCATGAACCTAGCTCACACTGTGAATACAATTATGGATTTAATGATGTAGGAATGCGGATATTAAGAGACACTGTATGTTTTCACTTTGAGGCTGGTGGGTAAAATTTGTTGGAACAGTCAAGGTTAGCGACAAAGTCACATCTACAGGACATCACAGGTGACAGTGTGTCTTGTCCTTGAGAAAGACCCTGAAGTTACTATCTGCTCAGTGTTTGTTCGGCTTCTGTGGATTAAAGCTTCAGCTAAATGCCTGAAGACATAAATCTAAAATGTAAAAGTAGAATGTGTGTGTGTGGCAGGGTATCAGATAAACTGCTTTCAGCTACTTACACTTTCCTGCAGTGTGGGCACCTGGCCAACGTCCGGTCTGTGAACTCTGTCCACTAAAATGACATAGAAAAATATGAGCTTTAGCTTCGGTGAAAAAAACAAAAACAAACTAAAAAAAACATGCTTGACATATCATCAGGCACGGTGATGACACTGCTTCAAGTCGCAGCATTACACCGACTAAAAACTAAATGAATCATCTAAAGTTTATAAAATGCCAGAAAAAAAGTCAAATATGGCATCACATTCTCCCTGAGTGCAAGTTGTCTTCAAATTGCTTATGTTCTGATAGAAAACACAAAGGTTTTAAATTCACAATTATACAAAATGAAGAAAAGCAACAATCCTCACATCTGAGAAGCTGGAAATGGTGAACATTTGGGTTTTTTCCCCTTGATAAATGACTAAAAATCAACCAAAAATGAAAACTGTTGCACTGATAGGGATAGTACTTCAGCTGCAAGCACAGTACACGGCATGTGCAGCGAATATACAACTTCTGGAGAAATTCCTTTATAGATGATCTTGTTTAAATATGCCTGGTGCAGCATGGATTGATGATATAAGAAATTTAATACAACCATCGCAGTTCTTGCCAACAGGTGCTGTGTGCCACAAAAAAAAACAAATGATAGTTTTCTCTTAGGGCGTAGAAATTTATCCCAACACCGGAGCGTGATGCATTTGTAAACCCTGCAGAGCAAAGTATAATGTACATTCCTCTTGTTCTGATAGAAACGCTCTGTATGGGAGGCACAGAGAATATTATCACCAGATCTGCGACAAAAGGATCAGTGTGATGCCACCCTGGGCAGAGATTTGTACTTCCATTCAGCCGCCCTGTCTTTAAACAGGTAGAAAAGGTCTGACTGAACGCTAAACACCCTCTACCATCCATCCCAGCTCTTTTATAGCTCCATTCTTCTCTGTCTGACTGCACCACCCTCCTCCCTTTCACAATTCATCCAAACCTTCTTTACCTGTTTCCACACATTCTTAAAAAGCAATACGTTAAAATTTTACTTCCCCTTGAGCACAAAATGGCCAGAATGTAACAGAGAAAAGTTAATAGGGTTATCGAGCTACACCAGTAACTCAACATTTATTTGGACTGGTGTGAGGATGTTTTGGCTTTTCAATAATTCACTTCTCGGGCTGCACTACAACACATTTCTCAGTAATAACCTTGCAGGCCTGAAACTGTCACAAGACATTTCAGCTACAGATGATAAAAGCGTCACTTACTTGAAAGTCAAAGCAGACAAGAAATTTTATTATTCTGCTAATTTCCACACTAATAGATCTCCTCTTCAAAAACAGTTAGTTGATCTTGGCTATCTAAAACAAGTGGAATTTTATTGTTATGTCTTTTTCAGGATTATGTCATTCAGAGAGACTTAAAACAGTGGTTGTACTGATGTCACACTTCCATAAGAGTTCAATATATCAATGAATGACTGTTAATGTCACTGTCACTAATGTGAATGTGAAATTATTCATTTTAGACCTGTTCAGGAGGTTGTATTTATATGGCTTTACTGTACATCTCAAAAATCCATGAAACAAACCGCACACGAGTAATGTAAATTATATCAAAGTACTGAAAATGCAGCTGCAACTCCAAATCTAACCGGTATTTCTTCAGTATCTGAACACACACAAATCACAAAACAAAACAACAGTTACAGTTTGGGAAATATGCATCTTTACTTTCTTGTGGAGAATTAACTGAGACCACTGAAGATGAAGCTGGAGCCAGCAGCCTGTTAGCTTACTTGGCTAATCACTTCCTGGATGTAGCTTCGTACCTACAGTAACTGACGGACACCAGAGTGCCATTGATCTTCTTGTAATCTTGGCAAGAAAGTGTACAAGTGTATTTCAGACAGTGCCATTGATCTTCTTGTAACTGTTGGCAAGAAAGTGTACAAGTGTATTTCCCAACATGCCAATCTACTGGTTTAAGTTCAGCCTGTGTCAGTGCTTGCTTTTAAAACAGAGAGATAGTGTGGTACCAGGAAGGTGTTGCTGCAGTGTCCACAGGAGACACGGGCTCCGGATGGCTGGGGGTCCGGGCTGGCCGGACCAGGATGAACTGGACCCAGATTAATTATCCTCTTACTGTGAGGGAGGGACACACACACACACACAACACAAACTTAGCAATCACACCACAAATGACTCAAAATACTATTCAGTGTTAGTGCAATCACTGCTTGATGTCGTGAGCAGTCGTCTCACTTTGCTGATGATAATTTCACTTTTGAATCCTCTCATTATTGCAAACACTGCTTTTCTACAACCAGCCTCCTCACACAACCACAGCAGCTCTGAATCACTGATCAGGCAGAGGCACAGAAATGTGTCTTCTTTAGTCAGCATGTCTGGTTTGAATGCAAAACGGTGACACTGGGGGCAAACTCTCAGGAGCAATTTAATGCAAAGTGGCCTATGAGGAATATATACCACCTCTGGGCATCACCTTCACTACACAGGCAACCTTTGGTCAACTGTAATAAACCCAGGAATGTAAACATCTGAAAAGAAACCAGTCAACTACGAAAGTGAAGGTTTGCTGTTTTTTTTCTTATGTCAACAAATTTCAGCATTGCTAACCATTTTAAACATATCTGATACAAATATCTCCCTTCAGATACAATTATTAAAAAAATATTCTGGTTAAAAGGTAAATGCTGTAACATTTTTTAAAAGACACCAGTACATTTTATGAAATTATGTTTTTGCCTCCAGATCAAATACAAACTCTAATTAGCTTTGAGGCAATTTTGGCTTCCGAGCTGCACAAGAAGCTGTCAGATGAATTATGGGCTAAAGATATTTATAACTGATTTTGCTGCATACAATTTAAAATGATACATATTCATATACAGAACATTTCCCCCACCCCCCAAAAAGGATGGAAAAAGAATGATTATGAATGTTGCTCCTGCACCTTTTCAGCCTCAGGCATAAACAAGGAAATGCATCTTCTGAGTAATTACACTAGACTGCAGCAGCGCCATGTTCAGATGAGCTGCCAGAGTTGTGCATTTTCAGTGACTGACATCAGCTTTCTTATTTTTACAATATTAAAAAAAAAAAATCCCAGCACAGCTGCATCCTTTTGACCTATAAACGGTGTTCTGTGGCTTTCCTAACAGAAGACAACAGAAACTTTTCTTTCCCAAACTGTATTTTTATTTCCCACGACCCTGTTCAGGAATAAGAGGTATAGATAATGGATAGATGGACTGAATTTGAAAAAAAAAAATGCCATTATGTGTGATTAACTATATCTCACTGGAACCTCTCCAGTTTATTTTCAATTGTTTGTTTTCTAAAGAGGCTTTTGTGCTGATTCTGCACCCTGATTTTCAACTTATACTGAATGAATCTGCTAAGTGTGCATTTGTTTGGTAGCTACTCTGCAGGAATAGTGCACAATTAAACTGCTACATATTGATTGAATTATGTGCTTCTCTAGCTGCTAGGTGCAGGCTACAAATTAAATCTAACCCCCCATAAGTCCCAGCCCTGAATAAAATATGGAACCAAACTAAACAATTTCCACAATGGCACGCCTCTCTTTGTACTGGTACCATACCGAAGTGAAACCTGTGATGTGGCTCTTCTAATGAGGTTGTTATTTCCTCATCCAGCTCACTGAGCACTGCATGTAAAATGTGCTGGGAGCACAGCCTTAATTGAGGGACTGCTGCTCCCACTGCCCCTCATTTCCTCTGCTTCACTTCTCTCTCACACAGGCACATGGTGTTCTTGCAGTCTCACAGCAGGGTGTGCACACACACACACACACATAGACATACAGGAAGAAGTTCTCACCAATATGGCCGGGGACAGGCAATCCTCTGGGAAGTGACTTTGCAGATGAGCAGACAGTTGCAGGGGCAGCGAACGTACTTCTTCCCTGCCGGGGCGTTCTTAATGGGCTGCAGAGGGAGACAGAATCACACAGGAGGAAGAAATAAAAAGACAGTAGAACAATGTATTAGAATTGGAGTGGATAACACACCAATTATTCTTGACTGACAAGACTTAGCTAATACTACGTGAGGGAGTAAGGTTTGAAAGATGGTAGAAAGGGCTGTACTGTAGTTGCAGCCAAGAATGGAACTGCTGCTTCATTGTCCCTAACAGTTCAGGAGCTGCTTGTTGTTCTACAAGTGATGTAAGACACTTAAATATGAAGCTCTTATGAAATGTTAAGGGCTTTCAAATCCCTTTTGCAAAGCCACAGGTTTAGTATCATGCCAGGCAGGGCTTGTCTTTCCAGTGTGTCCCGCACCATTGGCACCAGTTGGACCCTGTCAGCAGCTTTTTGACTGAATTGGCACGTTAAATCGGTGGCGGCCCTCTTCAGTGAGAGAGACCACTCTGATTGGCTGTTCAGCTTCACCAATCATCGATGCACAATAAGAGAGCAGTTTGGGAAAGCCCTCTCAGGCTGTCGCTGTTAAATCCATGATTTCACCCATTTGGTGCAGTTTCCTCTTATTTTGCTCCTCCACAACCTCCTTTTTTCACCCAAACCAAAAGACCAAGGACAGAGAACAGTAGTGCCATTTCCAAATTTTTATCAGACATATTCTTGATTAGAAGCAGCTATAAACAGCAGCTGTTGTGAATGACAGCTGCTTTGTTTACAGATCGTATTTCCACTGTCAAGCTCTTCTTCTTTCACTTTCTGAATGGAGAATACAGATGCCACCACCTGATGGTAAGGGGAGTTATTTCTGTCATGCAGCCACAGAAGGTACGTACTAGTTGGCCATTGGCTGTAGTCTGTGCGATGTGTACAGGTGCCATTTTTTTCCAACCTGACTGGCCCAGACAAGGTGACATGAGGTTACACAATAATTGGCCTATACCATTGCTAGTTCTTTCACATTACCTTGGTGTGTCTCTGCCTTTAGACATCACTTCAACCTTATCAATATTGATAAAAATACAGATAAATGCTGTGGACTTATGTTTGATTAGAAACTGTCCCAGAGGCTCCTAGAAGTGTTCAAAATTCACACAATAACATAGTTACATAATAGCTCATTTCCAATTACTCCAATAAATCTCTTACAATGGAGAAAGCATATGCACTGTACAATTGCCAGGGCAGCCTCCTTTGTTTCATCTCACCAGGTCACTGAATATTACAGGCCAAACTTAATTATCAAAGCCACTGTGTGGGCTCACAAAGATGGAAACTTTAATCTGCGTTTTACTACTATATAAATCACACACCATCCTCTGGGCTTAAGTTAACATCCTGGTCTCCAACTTCTGTCTGTCTCTTTTGTGCTCATTAAACTCTGACTAACCAGTTTAGACTGAACCCTGTGTGTTTTCTGCTGCGTTATCACTTTCACTTACAACTGCTGTGGGATTATTTGTACCAGTAGGGAGGAAAGTAATGATGAGAGTGAACACTGACATTACAAGAAACTAATTTCAGTCACTGTTAGTTATTAAAACTACTAGGGCTGCCCCCTAATAGTCAATTAGTAGATTCAATAGTTGAGAGACCTGTCAGTCGACTGAGACTAAGGAAAGCCTATAGCTCAAACCTATTTACCTGTAACAATAATTTCTGTCCCACAGATATTCCAGTTGCATATTTTGCCTCCTGTCCACATTCCTGTATAAATCTCTGGATCTGAGCTAATGCTTGTCTCTCAACACAAATCTGTATAATGCAGCATACATCTGTAATGCAAGTACGCATGTTTACACACTCAAAAATCAAAAATTAGTTCAGGTATACTCTGGACATAATTCTGTACATCTACATATGTTGCCACCATCTGTAAATCCGTCATACTGCCTACTTATACATCTGGCCTCATCTCCTGTTTGTTTTTTCATCTGCACGCTGATTTGCATAGCTGGATTCGCTCACTTATGGAGCCCATTCAACTTGTGAATCTGGCAGCAATGGCTGTTGAAATTACATGCTGTGCTTTCATCAGTACAACTGTCAAACTGTCCCAATCATCAAGAGCTTTTTCCATGGTCAGAAAGGTAATTAAAACTTGATAATTAAATTTTCCTTGATGCGCATTCAACTATCCATAAATTAGGAAATTAAAAGTGTAGCTGTGCATCTGTTGGTTTGGCGTCTTGCAGTTGCAGTACGGTCTTTAATTGGAGCTGGTAAATTGTAAACCTCATTGTCAAAATAGTTGTGATACCTGTGTAATTACAACATAAGATAGAAGAGATACCGGTTAGATTTGGAGTTGCAGCTGCATTTTCAGTACTTTGATATAAGCTACATTTCCTGTTTACACAGATGTGTGTGTGATAGGGCTGGAGCCAAATATTCAGCTATTCTGATATTCAGTCTTTGGCTATACTGAACGTTACTAAAGCCTATAGAATTCCGGACCTGGTAGGCTAGTGGTTAAGGCGCAGCGCTCTCGCCACTGCGGCCCGGGTTCGAGTCAGGGTTGTGTCAGAAAGGGCATCCAGCATAAAAAATACGTGCCAAATGTCAACATGTGAGTCATCAGTGTGACGATTCGCTGTGGCGACCCCTAAGCTTGAAAAGCCGTAAGTGACTTTCTACTAAAACCTATAGAACTATTTTTCTAACCACTGGCATAAATAAATTAACAGCATGCATGTTGCTGTAGTCTACATCTTGTCTAGTTAATGAATCTGCAAAGAGCTAACAATAGCATCATACAAGGCTGTGGCAAATAAATTTCAGCTCAGTCATTTAGAATTGGACCAATACCAGTTTTACAGTAAATCTCTCTGCGTGATTGTTTGTTGCATATACAAGTTCAAATCACATCCCACTCACCTAACAAAACAAATCTGATTAAATAAAGTAACATTTTTAGGTTTTCAAGACAAAGATGCTGCTGAATTTTCATTGCTTTGAAGAGAATTAGCAAAATATACACCACTAGTGTATTAGGGTGCAGGGAGAAATTTTAATGGTAAAGCTAACATCCATCATGCATAATCCCTCCCATCACCTGCACCACACTGTGGAGACTCTGAGGAGCTCTTTTAGCACAAGACTGTTACATCCCCAGTGCAGTAAGGAGCGCTATCATAGGTCATTTCTCCCCACAGCTATTAGACTGTATAATGTATCATTGTATTGATATACAAAGTGTAGTTATAAGGGAATGTGTAATAGTCAACTGAAGTGTTAGACTTGGTTATAATTGATTTTTTTCCCCACAGATTTTTGTGGTAAGTGTTTTTGCTGATGTTTGGGTGCTTGTTTTTTTTTTTTTCCTTGTTGCTGCTGGGGCACAGGGATTTCTCCATTGTGGAGAAAGTTTTATCTTATATTTAAAGATATGTATCACAAAACTTAAATAAAACCAAAATTCCCATATGAGTAAACACCAACATAGGGACATAAACTGCTTTGTAATTTGTATGAAACAACCCTTTAATAGAAGACACTGATTGAGTATTTGTGTATGAGTGTGTTGCATGCAAACTTTAAACTGACTGTGTATGTGTGTTACATCTGGGTATATAGATTCCTTTAGAAACCTACTGTAGCTTCATTGCAGACCCCACACTTCACAACGTGTTGGTGGATCTTGCCCTCCACAGAAATCAGGCTCTGACACACCCTGCAGGTGATAACAGGGGCACTGCCACTCTCCGGAGAGGTGAGAGGGGAGTAGGGTGGAGGGTCCTCTCCTAGAAGCACTGAGGGCTGAGTTGGGCTGGGGAACGGAGGAAAGCCTAAAGAGGGAGGGAGACAAGGAAGGGAAAGAATGATGAATCCAAAAGTAGTAATGAAAAAAACGGTTTAGTAAACACAGTGACAAAAGTTGTGCTATGGACAAAAAAGCCTCAATTCCCATGACAAGTAACCTCTTACTAATAAGATTTGGTCTCAAGTTCAACTGAAAGCAGCTTTAGAAGAAACACGCTCCTGGAATGCTGAGTGGGGTCAGATGCAACAAATAACAGTGCAAGTATCTGTCTGAAAAAGAGACAAAAACAAAGCAAAGATGTTTAAATAAACGGAGCTAATTCCTATATTGAAATCTGATGCAATAAAAAGCACTACCTGCTCTAATACAAGAAGTCCAAACACTGCGAACTAAAGTGTGTAGAGCAGGCCGTGGAAGCAAAACAGAAGCCATATTTCATACTTCTTCCAATCGTGCATTTAAACAGTCTATTTCTATATGTACTGCTACTGGTTGCAGCATCCCTCAGCAGCATCCTTAATGGCTTTCTTCTACATCAATCAAATCGTGTTTCTCGGATGTTAGCTAGCTGAGGAATAAGTTTATCCAGCTTGCGAGAACAACGGGCACCATGCAGCTGTCAAAACACATGTAACTATGTGTGTTGGGAAACGTAAATAAAATATTGCTTAGTGATTCTATAACTGGGCTGAAAACCTAAAGCTTGGTGGCTGGTTTGCTGGTGGTAACTACAGCAAACCGCTAGATGTCATGCTAATATAACTGCTACTAGGTCAGCTTGCTAGTTCACATAACGGTGACATCCTTCTTCACGTCATGATCGTAAAACAGCAGATTGTATGCACTGGGTGATGCTCATAAAGACATACTCTGGAAGATGAGAGCGTATCATGCGCAAACTTAGGAATGACCACTCGGTTCACTATTACAGTTCAGCTAGCAAGCTAACCAGAACGCCCAATCAGTGGAGGCTAATGTAAGCTAGGCTAACGTTAGTTCAGGCTGGAATCTGGCGTAGGAGAGAGTACTATGGATACTCACTCTGTGGTTTGCTGGGCACTCCATAGGGCGTTGCACCGGGAGACACTCCGCCGTTGCCGCTGCCAAGCGTGCCATCTCCTAGATCTGATAGTAACGGAGACCTCTCACCGTCCGCCATACCGAGAGCGAGCCGTGGAGGGGATGCAGACCGATGCGGGTTGTATTGTTGTGTTGGAAATGCAGACGTCACATGATCACACCACCGCTGCTGCGGTAACGGTGCCTGAAGGGTGGCACTGCACACCCAGGGGTGTCCCCGAGATCCCTCTTCATAGGAGTTCAATGCAAAATGCATATTACTTGGGAATCATGTTTGAAATACTTGCCAACGGTGACCAGTGTATTAGTGTAAGGTGGCAATGCCTGTGTATAACTTTACTTTTAGCCAGTGGTGGAAAGTAACTGTTTGAGCAGCAGTGGACCATAACTAAGTAGGCTACATACACCAACCAAATAAAAGATAAATAGAAAATCACATATACTGGACTGTACTTTCAGAAATGCATTATTGAATGCCTTCCCCTGAATGTCCACTATTCTATATTATAACAGCAAAGCCTAATTACCAATCAGGCAAAACAGGGCAACTACCTGAGGACCCTATGCAAATAGTTTTGTGGCAATGTGATAAAGCACACCATCAACTGATGTATACACCAACCTGTATTCAAAAGGTCTATACAAATAAAGTTTATTTAATTTGATGATAAAGGCCTCAAGATGGGTCCTGTTTTATTTTCTAGTCACAAAAGGAGCCCTGTATAAAAATATATTAATTATATGAATTGCTATTATGCTTACATGGTGCATATTCCTAATTAGTTTATGTTTAATGAAACTATCACAGCAAATTTGGAGCCTGTATTATTCCATCAAAGGACTACTGTACACAAAACACGCAAACAGGGCAAACTGGGGTCACAGCAGCTCATTCCTGCAGCATGGCCCACTTGCAGATCAATCTGGACATGATTTCTATATTTAGGATCAATATGGGGTAAAGTGGGGTATTTATCTGGATTCATTTTATCTACAAATGTACATCTCTAGTTATCAAATAATAAGGCAATCACATAAAACCATATATTAATTGATTTGATTTATTCATTCTTTCAAACATGTAACAACAGTCAGTATGTAATCACACATAATTCCAGACATGTCCACAAAAATATTTTCAATTTGCTTATACCTAGTACATGCTTGAACGGAGTAGGAAGAAGTTAGACTTATCTAGTCCTACCCCCTAACATCATCTTATCATCATTGGTTTGCAAGCAGTATTACTACATGGATACATATTTTACATCCACACTCCCATCTGATTAATCATTAAGCCTGTTCTTGCCCATATCTTGATTGACACATACCTTTATATCTGTGTTTAAACTCATCAATTTTCTTACTGTTTTTTATGTCCAATAAACACAGCAGTCTTATATCCCACTAAAGTCAAAAAATTTTAACAATTTAGACTGTATGAAAGCTCCATTGGTGTGATCCCTATACCCCATCTTATGCACAATTCTTATTGCATTCTTAATATGCACAGAATGAGTAATGACACTGGTTCACTTGTCAGATGACCTTCCAGATCTAACATAATGTGAAACTCAGGAAACACACAGGCTTTTTATGGATCCTTTTTTTTTTTCATCCTTGTTTTTCCTTAATCCATAAACAAGGTAGCATATGTAACGTTCACTGAAGTCACACTTGTCCTGTGTCTTCCAAATACTTGTGGCCTGTTGTCATTCTTTCTTATTGCATGTTGATAACATCCATGGGGCGATTCAGCAATAGAGTCACCTCCAGTTCCTCTCTCTCACTGAAGAACTGAGCCTTGCCCTCCTGGCTGTGGATGGGATGTGGGAGATGGAGACCCAGTTTACTGAAGAGAGGAAAGAGGACAGGTTACAGAGCAGGGAGAGTAGAAGGGACAGAGATTATGTGTGCAGCATTGTAGTATATGAGAGAGAGATGTGAAGAACCATGTCGATGAGCAATCAAAGCTCAGATCATGCTGTGAACGTCTCATTAACAGGAAATGTCTGCAAATGGGAGCTTTTGGTCTGAACTGCTGCTTCTCGTCTTGAGGGGATTAAAAATGAAAGAACATTTTCAAAGCATCTCTTACTATTTTGGCGTCCGTAGATCAAGGAATTTTTCTTTTACATCCAGCACCACATCTGTTGCTTTAGTGTCTGGTAGTTTGATTTTCACCTAAGAGTAGGAAAAATCAAACTGTGTACAAATAAAAATTTTACCTCCTGGTTATTCTAAGAAAAAAACAAACACTTATGTTATTTTGTTATCCAAGCAATAACATTTTCTTCTAACCAAGGGTCCTGTAAAATGTGTTAAAAATGAAAAAGTATTAGAATGCCTTTCACAAAATCTGACACTGTGTGTGATAAATTAAGATTTGTAATGTTATTTTATTTTAATTTAAGTCTAGTCTATCAAATTCTATTAGCAATTGGAGTACCAGCATGGCTTCACAGCATATGGAAGATGGGTCCTTTCCGCTCAAGCCCAAGAACAGATCCTCTGTCCCCACACTCTGCTTCAGAAGTATGTCATACCTGCACACAGAGGTTAAACCCACACTTGTACAGACAGGCACATGCAAAATGGGAACAACAAAAACAAGCAAGGACAGGCTCATCTGAGGTGTAGAAATGTTATAAATAAATATGGTATACAGACAGTGCTGAATTATACATGCTTGCTTATTTTGTAAAAAGTAAATCAGAAATTATAACAAAAAAGTACAACCCTCAAATGGGGCAGTATGGCCTTTTCATTTTAAGGCCCAGATGCACTCAGTAAGTGAGAACAAAGGTCATTTGACCTTTGCAGAAGGTAATGAGTAAAAAAAATTGTACAAAAAAATGCCTGTATTTTACCCTCATATGTATCAGTGAGACATATGTTTTCTGTCACTTTCTGCTCTGTAGTCTTACTCAGGTTGTGGCCGTGTGTCACAAAGATCACCATACTGAATGCCCTCAGGTACTTCTTCCTCTCCCCAGATATCTTTGCTGTTCGTTTTCACATAAGCACCTGACACTGAGTAAAAAAGCAATACACACACATACATATATTGCCTCTGTATCCTTGTAATGACTTAGGAGAAATTCTTTTGAAGAGTTATGTTTGAGATACACAAAGCTTTACCTTCTTTATCTTTTTTGGGTGGGGTGCCAATGTTTCCAGGGTTCAACTGTGCCCAAGCTGTCACATTCTGTTAAGACAGATAGTGTTTAGGCCTTGGTTCAGATAAACTAATGGGATCCAGTCATTCAGTCTGCAGTCATTATTGATACAGAGAAAATGTGCCAAACCCCAATGAAAACAAACTTTTAATCTAAATTAAAAAAAAACTCTTACTTTGTGTTTTTATAGACTATGTGTATATCCAGTGGTAGAATATATACAAGTACATTCACTTCACTTGGGAGTATTTCAGTTTATGCTACCTTCTAGTCCACTACTTTTTAAAGGCAAATGTTGTAGTTTTTACTCCTCTTCAATCATCTGAAAGCTATAGTTACTTACTTAACAAATTATGACTATACATAATACATATTGGTCAACCTATACAATACTATGCATAGTTACAGAACAAGGTATTAAACAGTGTAAAAAGTAGTTAAAATTAGCTCTGTTTCAACCAGCTGTGATATTAAAATGCAGTTCACTTTATAAAAATAATCCAATAATCTTCTTCTTCTTCTTCTTCTTCTTCTGCTTTCGGCTGGTCCTGTTAGGGATCGCCACAGGGAATCATCTGTTTCCACCTAACTTTATCCTTGGCATCCTCTACTCTCACCCCAATTAACTTCATATCCTCTTTTAGCACAACCATATATCTCCTCTTTGGCCTTCCTCTTGACCAAAAGTAATCCAATAATATGATACACATATTAGCCTGCTACACTTTCAAAGACTGAACAGTCTGACTTGAGCAGTTCACCACAGTGCAATGGCTTACTTTGCTGTCTTCATCATCATCATCATCATCATCCTGCTGAGTTGACAACAAGGCAGACAGAGCCTGTAGGTTCTGAAGGGATGATACTCCAAGACACTCCATTCTGAAAAGAACAAATAGACGCTAATTTATCTCAGAAAAACACTAATGTCAGGGTTAACCTGAATATGTAAATGTCGAGCGCTTGGACCTTACTGTTGACGCTTTCCGTTGCCTGGAGACGGCTGGCTTTCAGGCTGCCATGGTAACAAGTGACGTCACAAACGAAAATAAAAACCTGCCTAGATAGATAAATAGATAGATAAGAAAAAGCAATTATAACAAAAAACAGAATATGAAGATGAAAATTAGAGAGACAGTTAAAAACCTGCCTAGATAGATAGATAGATAAGAAAAAGCAATAATAACAAAAAACAAAATATGAAGATGAAAATTAGAGAGACAGAGATTATTTGCATTAACTTGAAATGAATGAAATAAGAAAATTATTCAAATAAAAGTAAAGAAAAAGTAAAACAATAAGCAGTTAAAACATCTGATCGAATTTTTGAGCAAAATTATTCTTGCTAACTGTGCATATGAAAATGGAACGCACTCTCTTTTGTACAGGTTCGATGTAAGGATGAACAGAAAATACTGCTAATGATCCACATTGAGCCTAGCCGTCTAACATTTTCATCCCGCCTTCTCATATCTAATTGAGCTAATTACCCCTTTTCAGAGTGTTACAGTAGCCTTTTATATCATGTTAATGGCTTTATTACTAGTGATGAACTAATATCGCCTCCGGTTTTAATGCTGAAGCTGGTCAAAGTAGAGGAAATTTTAAATTCTTTATAAGATTATCACATATTCCATTCAAATTTTAATCTACAAAGTAACTAGGCCTATGCTTATCACGTAAAGGCAATGTAGCAAAAACCACTACATATCCCAGTAGTAGGCTAAAGTAGCATACAAGGAAAATACAGTCGCAACAGGGAAGTCCTTATACTTCTCACGACTAGCTACTAAATAATTTTATTTTAATTACATTTTTAATCACTTTCATGGCACAGTATGACACACAAGGTATTTATATTGTCCATGGACACTTCGACATGTGGACTGCAGAGAAATGGCCGAAATAATAAAATAGCTGTACTTCCTAAAGTCAGTGTGTAGCCTATTGATAGTTACATAGGATATATCTAAACAATAAACTCTGAAATAACTTGCATTAGGCTTTCAAAGTGTAATAAATAGTTGGTCGAATAGCGGAAAGGCGGCGTGATAATCGCTTCGCGTAGTCATGTCTCCCCTCGGCCACCGTAGTGAACGCAGGGCTTGCAGAGAACATGTTGAAGGTGACAACCAGTGCAGTGCTGGGGGCTTTTAGTCTGCTGCCGACCACCGTCCTTGCCGCCAACGGTGACGGGGAAAAGGAGGCAGCCGCTTCTCTAAACCGGGACGAACTGTCTCTGTATAGCGCACCTCAGCAGAAGTTTCGGTATGAGGACTCTGAAGCGGGTCAGTTGGAGCAGCGTGTCGCCACCCTCAGGAAGTCAGCAGAGCCATACACAGATTGGTTCCAGGGAACCTTTGACAAAATTAAACCCCAAGTTGAGAGTGTCGTCAAGTTTGGGAATGACACCTACGCCTACTTGAGGAACCCTCCGAAGGACTTCTATCCTCGGGCAGGGGTCATCGCCTTTACGGGTGTCCTGGGACTGTTTCTTGCCAGAGGCTCCAGGATTAAAAAGCTCATCTACCCGACTGGTCTGGTGACTATGAGTGCCTCCCTCTACTACCCGGAGCAGGCTGCCGCCATCGCAAAGTCAGCCGGGGACTCCGTGTACGACTACGCGGTGCAGAGCTACGCTGCGGTGGAGAACATACTGAAGCCCCATAGCAAAGCTGAGAAGGACACCAACTCGGGAAACAAACCCTGATGATCCCAGAGTGGCTTTGCAACAATTCGGAAATAAGTTATTATACAGAATCTATTTCCTGGTACTTCAGACTGACATGCTGCATAAACCAGCTTCAGTCTGGTTGATTCTGCCATGCCCATTTTCTGACTAAGCTTCACATATAACTCAGGCTGGGCATGGCCTGTCAAAGGGGGTTTGCAACTTGAATGATTCACTTCTACTTCTGATGTGAATATTTATGTACAGAATTAATTAAAAAACTTGCGCTGCATTTAATTGTAAGATTGCTGCCTTAATTCTGCATTGGATGCTGTCAGAATCGTGTATTGTACAATAAAATAAATCAACTAGATCTGAAACAAAACAAAAACAAAAAATTTCAGTTTTTCCTCAGCTCACATCAATTCCTCAGCTCACATCAAATCTTTTAGCTTTGAACAACTGGGTCAGACAAAACCAAAAATGTGAAGATATAATTGTTCTGGACGCCGTTTACTTTTTGTTTGATTAATCAGTGAGTAAATTAAAGTAATCTGTGGCTGCATTAAAAACACTTCAACACTTATAATTATGTCAAACATCATTAAGGTATCACCACAAACAGTTAACGGTGGTAAACATGAGCTGTTTAATATGTGGCTCATGAACATTAATTAATAAAAAGCCAGATTACATTAGCAATATAACCCTTCCCCTCTGTGTTCATTTGGCATTTCCAGAGAAAACAAATTATGTCATCTATAACATCACCAAGGACAATGTCTGGACCCAAAGGGGAATGAACACCTTTATTCATCTCAGCCAAAAAAAAAAAGTACAAAAATTAAATATGAATCAACTTAAAGAAATCCCCCTCAGAGCACCACCAGCTTCTCATTTAGAGCAATCTGTGCTTGGGTCAGGTTAGACAGGTAGGTCACCATCAACAGGTCCTGCAACAACAAAACAAAGTGCATTCACAGTTATATGAATGACTCCAGTAAAACACTTATTCTCCTACAGCATTATAGTCAGAGAAGTGGTGTCAGACAAGTGCACGAGTCAAAGAGCCAGGAGAGCACTAACAGCAGAAAGCAAATTAAATGTTGTCTGTACTGAATGGGAGTGTGCCAGTCCGCTCAGAACAATTCTGAGAGCAGAAAGTAAATAAAGAACGGAAGGCTGATGGAGATGCACTAAACCCACTGGGGAAACAATCACCAGCAGCTGACGAAAAGCACTTACGTTGATGTTGGAATTAAGCATGTTCTCGAAGTCCTCAGCTGAGATGGTGGGCACCTTGTTGACCAGGTCCATTAGAAAACGGCCCACACTGTTATCTGCTGTCACTTTGCCAGACTGAGACAGATTAAACAGCATTACAGCCACTATCAGTGTTACATTTAATTGCTTCTCCACAGAGATGACCTACTGATAGAAGGTAAGGCAACACTATATCATTGGGTTTATGTGGGGACTGTTTGCTGGTCCTTGATGGACTTCCACACAACTGGTTTGAGTCACACCACCACACAACATCTTTAATGCTCACCAGCACATCTTCAATGTATGCAAGCACAGTGGTTAGCATGTCTTGTATCCTGGCTGCAGAACCAGCCACTTGGGAAAGATCAGAGGTCAGGCCCTTGGTACGACTGGCAGTTATACGTGTCCTCTGTAGAAGGTCCACTGCAACAGAGAGATGGAGAAATATTTTTTGCCATGACAAACTGGGGAACCCCCCTCCACAATTTCAAGATCACAGATATACAGTCAGGAAGCATTTGTTTTCAAACAGTGATCATTATTTATTCTTTGAATTCTCACCGCCGATCCTCTCAGTGTCATAGTAGATATACTTGACAGTTAGTGGGGTGAACATCACACCAACTGTCTTTCCTGGCACACCCATCTGTGCACTGTGTAGGAGTGACACACAAACACATTCAAACACTCATGTCCAGTTTATAACTGATCACACATAGTCACTAACAGGAAGATCAGCCGACCTGACATAAGCGCGGATGTTCATCTTGCCGCTCTGCAGTGCTGTGTCCACAGTCAGGTGAATGGGGTTGGAGGCCTCACGGCTGTAGTACTCGTGGATGAGCACCGAGTGTTCCGTTATGTCAAAGCCTGTGGCATACCTGTGAGAAAAGATGTCACATTGGTAAGAAGGTGTGGGTTCCCCAATTTTATGTTTCAAATTCCAAATCTGATTCAACAACATACCAGCCGATGATAACCTCAGTGGGTGAAACCCTCTTGTGAAGCTCGTACATGTTCTTGGCAAACTCCATGTCCACAGCCACCTGAAAATTTAACAAATGGCCACATCTTTACATAACAGTTTGTTTCTTTTACAGTATGAAACATGAGGCAGCCATCTAGGTATAAAAATGTGGTTGTTACAAAATGTCATGCTGAACGTTTCACAATCATGCATAAGATTCTGACATGTCCAATGATAAACTTCACCACCTTGCAGAACATAGTACAGTACTCTGCAAAAATCTAGACACTTCAGATGTTTTTAATCAGTCACACAAAATTATTAGGGAAGCATCAGATTACTTGCAGATTAATTCTGTTACATAAGAACAACCCCCAGCATAATAAAGGCAGAGTGATAAAGAAGTCCTGCAACAGATGGTCTGGCCCCCACTAAGCCCTGATGTCAGCATCAGTGAGTCATTCGAGGATTACTTGAGATGTCAGAAGTCAGTGAGACAGCCTGAATCCACATAAGAACTATGGCAAGTTCTCCAGGATGCTGAACAACCTACCTGCCAAGTACCCCAGGTAAAACTGCACACAAGTGTACCTAGGAGACTCTGCATGGGCCCACGTGATGAACAAAACTATTTATGCCATTATCTGTCAAACAAAGTTCACTTGAGTTTGAGTGCCTAAAACCTTTTGCGTAGAGATGTATTTACCCCCGCCGAGGAAGATTCTATAATTGAAAACTCCTGCTGCTATTGCATGAAATGTGCAGATTATTATCAGGGGCAAAGTATAAATATTAAGAGTTGTAAAAGGATTAATTCTTTAGTTTAATATGTGTCTACTTTCTAAAAAATGTTAATTGCATTAATTTCTCATGTATGGCTTGTCTCCACAAAGTGTTTGTGACTCCTTTGACTGTACAATAACACTGCGATTTCCCTTGAGGATTAATAAGTTTGTCTATCTAGTGTCTAACGAGTGCCTATTCATCAAATCCAGAAAAGGTTAACATCATGCTGTGAACGAATGACTTTAACAGCATACCTCATCTTCAGACTCATTGTGGGGGACAGAGAAGCAGTTGGTCACCTCTATAGAGTGCTTGTCAATAGTACCTGAGAAAGACAAATGTTACAAATTAGGCATTATGATTTAACCAGGCCCCTCTGCACTCCCAGCTAACAGACTGACAAGAGAGAACCCAAGAAACTAAAACCATTACGAAGCTCTGGGTAACATCAATAACAACGTTCAGCCCTAATTGCCACAAGCCGCAACAGAACACAAATGATCAGACAAGGCTGTACATAACCAAGATTTTCAACTACATGGTCACCTGATCACACAGTCGGTTGTTACAAATTCTACCGCTACTAGCCAACAGTACGTAGCTTTAGCCAGATGTACGTTAGCTACTGCACCGAAATACGCCAACATGCGTTAGCAGGCAAGCTAAAATTAGCTAGATACGCATCACCTCTCCTAACAGAAAACGGCCCACCCAACGGAAGACAAACATGTCAAGTTTATGTTTACCCAACAGGGTCCCAATCACACGACTCGCCCCTTCATTTCTTCGCTCGTAAGAGTCGCAGATAGAAGCAAGAACCACAGGATGGATTTTCACAACTGGCCCGAACACCGACATCTTGAAGAGAAGGACTGATGACCGGCAGCAGTGAAAACACACACTGCCACCTAGCGACAGGAGGGCGAACAGCGGGTATTGAATATAACAGTAATCATAATTAACTCATTGATACAGCTAATGATGGTCAAACATGTAGTGTGTGGCTGTATCTGATATCACCAGAAGTAGTTTAATGAATAAATAAAGGCTTGGTAAATATGATCAGGTTTAACGGAGCATTGCATAATAATTTCCTTGCAGATGCGCCTAAAATAGCTCGACCTACGAATAAATTCGCATTAAAGGAATGCAGTATATTTAGCCTAAATATTAAAGTATCAATCATTTTGAGTAAACATTATATATGCGGCATTTAACTGCATCACAAGAGGGACCTTTGCATTTCCCCATCCCTGAGCTGTGTGCGGATGCTGGGTGTCTGACAGTGGTGAGGAGGGACGGGACTGTCCCTTCTGCTTTGGAGATGAGAAGAGTCTGAGGCAGGCGGGGCTGAAAGGGGCTGGGCTGATGACAGCATCCTCCGCCGCTCAGTGGCTCCACACCTGACCGACTCCATCCGATGCTCAGATGATGGGGCTCTCTGACGACAGCATCCTCCGCCGCTCTGTGGCTCCACACCTGACAGACTCCATCAGATGCTCAGATGATGGAGCTCTCCGAGCTGCCAGGTTATCCTGTTGCCACCATTTCGCACGTCCGCTTCCGACACATGTTCTGCAAATGCCGTAACCATTACGCGTTAATCGTCATTGCCGGGGGCTTTAATTTTTATGCTTGATCATTCGGTGGATGGGTGCTCGCTTTATATTTATTATGAATGTTGAGTGGTCGGATCGGGGTGATCGTTGTTTTCCGGGGAAAGCGAACAGGAGTGAAGTGATGCTGCATCGCTGGTAAACACCCGAAATGGATATCGTCGAACCAAGGTTGCCAACCCAGGCTCGGTCTTGGACCAGATATTCGTCGTTCTTATGATAACACATCTGTCCAGTCCAGGTCTCCTACACCTACATGTTGCTATATTGAGCAGGTAAGAATTTGTTCATTCTGAGCTGTCTGAGTTGAATCAGCAAGGTTAGCCTTTAGGTTTCTGTTTCCTGTTGGCTGGCTAAACAGACCCCTTTAATGGAAGCTATTTATGATCCATCCATCACTAGTAGTGCGTCATCTTGATTGTCATAATCAGTCTCCTCTTGCATCCATCCTCCAATTGCACAGAAGACCGTCTCCTTCACATACATATTTAACTCAAGTTTCTTAGACTTATGTAAGAAATCTCACAAGCCTGTAGTATAAATCCACCATATTAACAGTAAGTGTATCTATACACATATGCATAGACCACTCACGCACCCAAAAGCATTTCATGCAACATAAATCCGTATCTAGGCCTCATTTCAAAGACAAATCTCCCTTCATGTCTAAGAGCACCCACAAATGAGGTGTCTTTCAACATTGTGTTTCATTTAGCTTTTTAAAGGTTGAACTAATAAATCAGGCAGAGGTCAAATCATGGCAAGCCACACAGATTGTTAATGTAGAAAGGACAAAAGTGTCTTAAGAGAAATTAAAGGGACAGAGGAGATGACAAGCTCCTGAAGTTGTTTCTTATTGAAAATCATTTATCAGTGAATTACTAATCAATTTCATGTTAAAATTTGATCATTGTGTTCTTCTATATTCCAGGCTTCAGTCAAGCAAACAAATGATCCAATCAATAGCAACTGGACTAAGTCTGACATAGGGAGGGCATCAATAACACACTAATACACTTGACGCACACACAGGCCATGGCGCTGGAGAACTCAGTCTTTCCCTCCTGCCCAGACTCCCTCTCACTCCCTGCGGAGGGGAAAGGGGAAAAAGTGGAGGTGGCCAATGAAGCCACGGCCTCCACGGGAGTCTTCAACCTATCAGAGGAGCTGGGTCATGTTGTCACCACAGAGACGGTGCCGTCCCCTTCGACCCCGGCCAAGGTCAACAGGTCTTTCAGGTCCAAGCTGGCTGAGCGTGAGGCCAATGTCAATCAGCACAGGAAGAAGACCCAGGGTGCGGAGAAGGAGAGGGGGCGATTTGGGTGGGGTAAGTGACTCTGAGTCTGACTTCCTGTCCTTGATGGTCCTCCATTTCAGGGCAGAAAGTGAGCCTGTAAAAATGATGACATAAACAGAACTGATGAAGCCTCTTGGATGAAAGGTGAAACGTCTTCGACCTAGAAATCTAGTCCAGTTGATTTTTTTTAAAGTTTTTTCAGTTTACTATGACCTGGATGACTGAGAATCTGCACAGACATAAACAGCTGCTTTCTGTTCAGTTATGACCAGCTGTTGACAGATTCTGGAGTCTGGATCATCGTGCCCTCCCTCCACACACGCTCACACACTGTATGATTGAACTTGTGCACCTCCTTCTCCTACCCATCTCTCCTGAAATAGTTGTGAATCTCCTCTAATTTGAACTGCTGCAGTGCTTCACCCCTCAGCAATTTCAACAGTCCTGCACATCCTTTTTCATTAGACCTCTCCAGTAGTTCTGCTCCAGTTCCTTTCTCAAGTGAAAAAAAACCATAAAACTGTAAAACACTGTTAATTAAAGAACTATAGGGAATTGTAAAATGTAGGTGTTGTTTTGTGTGTGAATACCACAATTCAGCTACAATGGAATTAGGCAACAGTTTTGGTGCCACTGTCGGTTAAAGCAGTAAAAGACCAAGGACCTTGTTGTTAGAGATGATTTAATTTGAACCATAACTAACATTTTCAATGTAACTCTTCCTTCAGACCTGCAGATACTGATTTAGATTCACACATAAACATATATTATCATTGTAAGAGACAAAAAAACAATTGTTTTGCATCCTGCTTATCAAATCTCACCTCTGGCTCAGTGCACCTAAGGCTCTCTACAAAGAAAAACCAGAATCATCAATTGTCTTTAGGGTTGTAGAGTAACTGAAGTCCAGTGTTATGGCTTTTCTTCTCTAAGCGGTTCATGATGTTGTCCTGTCGTACTTCATTTGCTCTTGTTTCCTCACCTGTCTGTTTTTATTTCTGTTTTTCTTTTGTCACAAGCCACACTGCTTCACTCTGCGTAGTTTTGTCCTCTGGCACCTTCCTCTGTTTATCCTCCCATCTCTCTCCTGCCTTCATTCAACTCACATCATCTGACTGGAGTCAGAGTTGCAGATTCAAACAGCAAAACCTTTCAGAAATGTACAAAGGCAGCCCTGTGCGTGCTTTTGTAGTTTTCTAAGGGGATTTGAAAGGGCTGCCTGGAATCCAGAGACACACATCTGTGAAGAATTTACTTCAACCTAGTTTCATGTACCAACACTGAGGCTGCAGTCCACAAGACCAAGAGCTCTCATTTTTCAGCCTAGATATATCTCAGACTTCTGTAACCAAATTGTGCCTCTTGTCCTTTCACCCTCCCTTGTTTCACGTGGTACCCCGTCATCACCCTGTCTCTTCGCCAGTTCGGACTCGACGTAAGCGGCAGCGCTATGTTGAGAAGAATGGCCGCTGCAATGTGCAGCACGGTAACATGCGGGAGACCTACCGCTACCTGACTGACATCTTCACCACACTGGTGGATCTCAACTGGCGCTGCTCACTCTTCGTCTTCGTCATGGCCTACGCTGTCACTTGGCTCTTCTTCGGGGCCATCTGGTACCTCATAGCCTACTGTAGGTAAGATTCTTAAGAATAGGATACAAGTTTTATTTGGATTTCTGTGGTACTGAGCCATGGAGGCATCTGTACATTTACATTATGCTAAATCACAATGACAGTAATGACAAGAATGTTTGATTTTAAAAATCACTTGCAGATTTGGTAGGTGAGAGGAGATGGTCAGCTTAGCTTTTTGCTTAACCCAAACAAAAACTGAAGTATAACATACAAGATAGAATATTTTAAAGCTGTAGCTTTATAATAGCAGACTGATATGAGTGGCATCAATATTCTTTTGTAATGTTTAGCAAGAAAGAACATAATCATATTTCATAAAATGCCAAACGATTGCTTTAATTAAATCATCATAAGACAACACTATCTTTCCTAACAGCTCCATGATGGACGATGATACTGGGAGTGATCAAGCACTGCAACATTTTTGCAGCGAAGGCAAAAAAGCAGACGACAAAGCAGTATTAATATTACAGTGCATTAAATCAGGATGTGTTGTCTCCTCACTAGATGTGTCTGCTGGATCCCCTGCTCTGCTCTAATTTAGCTAACATATTCCTCTCATAAAAACCATAACCTTTTTATCAATTACAGGCTCCACTAAGCGGTGCCAGAGAGCTGTCGCTGTTGCTGCAATTCCTCGGTCACCAACACAGGTCAATAAAAGTCATAGATCATATAAATGACTTAACACCACTTTCATTAATTAGCTCTCTGGCTGGAGCGCTGATAAACAGGGACGTTAACCTGTGTAGTGTGTGTTTGGAGAGAAATTCTGCAGACTCTTAGTGGCACAGGACTGAAAACCACCACATTCTGTATGTGATGATATACAGTATGATGGATAACGTAGGTTTTAGCTGCATCAAGAAAAACTGACAGCAAGAATGTTCAGCTCTTCATTAAACCTTATGAATAGGACTGGTAAGAATGAGCTGATGGGAAGCAGAGGCAGAGATGGGTTGTGTCGTTGTTCATACTGTATATTTCTGCACCTTCGCTCTAAAAATATAAATCTTCTCGCTCTCTGTCTATTTTTCCTTCTTGACACCCACTTTGTCACCCCTCCCCTTCACTTTGTCACACATTCTCCTCCTTTTCTTCCCAAGGGGGGATCTGGACCATCTGGAGGATACGGCATGGACACCATGCGTCAACAATGTCAACGGCTTCATCTCAGCCTTCCTCTTCTCCATCGAGACAGAGACCACCATTGGCTACGGCTACCGCGTAATCACTGACCAGTGTCCAGTGGGCACGATGCTGCTGCTGCTGCAAGCTATACTGGGATCAATGGTCAACGCCTTCATGGTGAGCAAAGAAAATAACTGTGCCTCACTTAGAAAATAAAATATGCTAGATCCCTTCCTGCACATTACACATTTATTTTATCATCTTTATTTTGGTGAATATGTGATGAAGCTAAAATTACATTATCACAAAAGTTGATTTGTGTAGAATTATATGAAGCTAAAATTACATGATCACAAAAGTTGATTTGTGTAGAATTATTTCCACAGTTAAAACTGCTATAGTACATCAGGAGGTCAGCTCAAAGGACAATAAAAAGCCTACAAATTTAGCTTTCACATTCTTAGTCATCTGGGTTCATTTGGCAAAGCCCCACCTTTCTGAAAGGTGCCTAAATAATTAAGTAGACAACGTTAAAACAAGCTGAAACAAATAAGCTAAAGAGTACATGTTGATAGTGTTTGAGTCTGTGTGATGAGAAGGAGGCCTCCTCGTCAGTTCAGCTGAATCAAATCCAAAAATTAATATGCACATTTTTTTCTTGAGCTGAGAGAGAGGAGTGAATGCATGAATACTATGCAGATGGAAAAACACTAATGCAGTGCAAATGGTATTCTTCCTGAAAACAAATATTTACATAGAAAGTGCTGATGGAGCTGATGTCTCACTCCTCTGGTGAGGATGGATCCACACACTGACGCCCAGGCAGAATCATCTTTATGCATGTCTGCAATCTGGAAACATGCCATATTAGTAACTGATGGAAATGTGGGCTGTTTTACTGTGCGAATGAAAACATAATTGAGTGTGAGGTTAATTCAAGTGTCAGTACTATTTTAACCACTGCAAACTGGAAATAGCAACTCTCTAGACAAAATGAACAAACGTAGTCTGTAGCTCTCACAGTGAATGCAGTCCAGCTGTAACAGTCTGGACTACTGGCTAGTTAGCTGATGTGTTCATTATGAATACTGAATAACAAGATATGTCATTAATTTTTCAGTAAATGTCTGATTTTCTAGTTAGTGCAAATATTTGAGTTTCACATAATTTCTCCTGTCACCCCTGTCTGCCCAGGTTGGCTGTATGTTTGTGAAGATCTCTCAGCCCAACAAACGAGCCGAGACGCTGGTGTTCTCCAAACATGCCGTCATCTCTCTGAGAGACGACAAGCTCTGTCTGATGTTCAGGGTCGGCGACCTGCGCAGCTCCCACATCGTAGGGGCCAACATGAGGGCCAAACTCATCAAGTCCAAACAGACTCAGGAGGGTGAGGTCACCGGAGCACAGTTAATAATGATTCCTCTTTAATTCAGTGGGACTGCTGTAATGGCCGTCTGCTAGTGAGGCAGCTGCTACCAGAGGTGGAAGGTGATATAATTACAAAAAGTCTTGTTTTTCTAATGGGTTTTTTAATGTTCCCATTTGGGAGTACATTAGTAAACATCAATAATTCTGTTTTCATGTAAGCAGGTTTTGTATTTAACTGCTTTTGGATAGTCAAGAATTCTAGAGTAGACAACAGTTATGCTGTTACAAACCAATTAGGAGGATTATTCTTTTAAATTCAGTTATGTTTTTGGCAATCTGTGCAAACACATTTTCTCCTCCTTCCCTTTACCTCACCTGTCATTTTATCGTCTCCCCCAGGTGAGTTTATCCCTCTGGACCAGACGGACATCAGCGTGGGCTTCGAGACAGGCGATGACCGCCTCTTCCTGGTCTCGCCGTTGGTGATCTCCCATGAGATTGACGCACACTCACCCTTCTGGGACATGTCGCACGCCCAGTTGGAGAAGGAGGACTTTGAGATCGTGGTTATCCTGGAGGGAATGGTGGAGGCCACCGGTGAGGAATGGCTTAAACATACTGATGAACATTAAAACCCTCCATCTGTCCCCAGTAAATCATTTGAAGTTTCGGGCATATTCTAAAAGTGATGCAATTAGAATTTAGTCTGGTATTTTGCTGCAACAGCATTATATTGTATTCTAGAGGAAGTAATACCTTGCAATTTAATTTGACTATAAAGTTGTAATGGCCTTTATGCTGTAAATGCATGTTTTGCTACAACAACAACAACTGAGCATTAGGATTTTAATCTTGTAAATGCATACAAGATGCATCTGATATTACAGTAATACCATCATTGCTTTACAGAAAGCACATCCTCTAAAACTGTCCATTAGAAAATGAAATTCCTCTTCCAGGATGTTTGAGCTTTCACTGGCAGAGCTCTCCATCTCTCCCCAGTCAGTCGATGTGTTTTCTGAGCCTCGTGATGTTGTACTCATGGAGAGAATATACATATGTAAATTTAGAAATATCAGTGTATGTGTTATAATAGGGAGCAAAAGTGGAAAGTAATCACTGGAGCAAGTCATCTGCAGAGGACAGGCTCTTAAATCTCTTTAGTGTTAGCCTGTTAGACTCGATACAAAGAGCCACTAAAAGCATGTGTACACCCCCAGTCTCAACACTTTTTTTGCCAAATGTATCAAAACTTTAAGTGGTCTGGATTTACAGTATACTGGGTTGAAAAATCACAACAGCTGGGACAAATATCTCACAGCTCCCTTCAGAGATTAAACATTTAAAAGTAGAGATTAACACTTATGTTACATTTCTGGTTGTTTTTTTTTAATGTTGTTCTCTCACTATCTGACAGCTCCAAAATCCAAAGAGGTAGAAACAGAGTCTAGATGGAGCAAGTAGCCTGTTAGGTGCCTCTTGTAACGATTCGGACAAACGTGTTTATCTCTTTATTCACTTCTCATAACGCCTAATGTCAGTTTCATTCTGAGAGGATAATATACTTAACTGTTCATCACTGCTTGGCAAGAATTCAGCGTCTCAGAGCTATTCATGATGCGTCTCCAAAAGGTAAAGGTGGACTCTCTGCCTACTCCAAATATTGATTTCCTTAGTCCGAGTGTTATGGAGAGTTACAAGGAAGTAGCTGACAACGTAACTCTGCTGCAGCGAATTTTCATTTAACAACAAGTGTTTGTGACTAAATGGCTAAATTAATTACGTCTGCATCAGAGTTTTAGGTGTGGTGCTTTGACTTCCTGCTTAGTGTTCCCGCCCAGCTAAGCACAGACAGTCCTAGTCTTGTGTATCTCAGGGGTGTGAATACATGTCCTCAGGAATAATGTGTAATGTGACTTTATGCACTCATTGGTTGTGCCTCTGTGTGCGTGCAGGGATGACGTGCCAGGGGAGGAGCTCCTATCTAGCAGAGGAGTTGCTGTGGGGTCACAGATTCAGTCCGATGATGTGTCTGGCAGAGGGTTTCTTTGACATTGACTATGGAAACTTTCATCACACGTTTGAGGTACAGACTGTGGAAGCCGGTGTGATAAAGATGTAACTAGGCCAACAAAGTGGTGTTTGATTTAGCAACTTGTGTGAGCTGTCCGATATAAAATAATATTCAAACTGTGGTAACTCACTCCCATAAGGGACAAATATTTAATACATAAAAATAATTCTACAGTCCTTTATTTGTCATTTCCTGAAGTCATGAGAAAGGAAAGCCTAAGTGTCTTTTTTAAGGAAAGTCTCACTTTTGATGGCTGTTTAGCAAAATTTTGCTAATTTCCGGCTGTAATCACATAAAAAGACTACATGGCATTGTGTTCAGATAATAGCAGTCAATAATACAGTTAGTAAAAGTGTTTCAAAATGTTTAAACATTAACACAAAGGTAAAGTTTTGGTGTCAGTTCCTCAAAGATGAAGGGCTCCTTGTGACCAAAAAACGGACTGTACCCTCAAGATTTTCAAGTAAGGAAAACTGGAACAGCTCCTGCTCTGTTATCCCTATTCCTGTCTCCACCTACATGTGAAACCAGCAGCTGAATTCACACGTTCTCTTGGGGTTGTTGAAAGGCATGCTGGGAAATGTAGGAATTCTTACTAAAGTATTTTTGTAGGGACAAGTACAAAGCATGGACCAATGCCACAGCACATATCAACACTTTTATAGGCTAAAATAGTTAGCAAAGCCCATCCTTAGATGAGCCTTTGGAAATGCACACAACTAAACAGGACGAGACAAACTAAATAAAACAGAGCAGAAAACATACTACAGTAAAAAACTGACAAAAATGATGTCTAGGGATGTCTGGCTGATTTTAAATCTCTTTAAAATGATGCCATTCATGTTCCATTTGTATTTGAATTCCATCTATTTATCATCTGCAGAGACAGATATCTGTCCACAGCAGGTTTTACAAAAGGGCACCATAAAATTTTACATGGATGCACCACGAGTTGACCAACAGATATCCTTAGACATCTTACCATCTCCAGCTCCATGCTGTTAGCTTGGCTAAAAATAAGTTTTATAATGAGTCACTAAGATCATCAAGTGAACAACTACATGAAGATGATTCTTCAAAGTTTTGATGTTTCTTATGTTTCCCTTCCCCAGGTGAACACACCCTCCTGCTCAGCACGAGAGCTCTCACTGGCTGCAGCCAGACTTGATGCTCACCTCTACTGGTCAATTTCCAGCAGGCTGGATGAAGAGCCCACTCTGTCCAACCAGGTGGCCAAGCAGCTGGACAGCAGCTCGGGGAACAGCAAAGGAGGGGAGCCGACTTTAATTCTTGGAGAGATGACTGACATCCAGGAGCAAACGGGGCTGGGGGAGCTGAACGGCAACGTTGCCACCGACCAGTCCGAGTCAGAGGCCTAGAACAGAGAATGTTTACACAGACCTTCAGTATATCACCATCACATGACAGCTAGTGTTTGCAGAGCTTTTCTTTCAAGGCAAATGAGTAGTTTCATTAGGCACAGTTCTAAATTATATGCCATATCTCATGTCATACTGTATGAAGGTGTTTATTTCTTGATACTTTTGCCTTTTATTTCTATGTTGATCTTTGTTACAAGTGTACTGTAAGTGTGCTATCTCTTTTCAAACTGTTGTGTTAGCTCCAATCACCCTTGCCTATATCTATATCTAAATGACAGCACTATGCTATAGGTGGGGTCAGCAAGAGAATATCCTTTGGACCAAGACAGAATGTTAAACACATGCAGCTGCCTTGTTGGGCAAAAATCTGTGGACAAGGTGGATGTATGTGCAGAGTCAAGTGTATGAATTGTGCACATTTACAATAGGTACAGTGCATAGATGCTTTATCTTCACTTATCTTCAATATCACTAAATGATTGAGGTCCAAACTAAAATTGTAGTAATGCCTTTTTTTTGATGCAAAGATTGTTCCTAGATTTATTGCACATCGATCAGGTGTTAACAGGGTGGGGTAGAAACACTAGCACCAATGTGTCAACATCATTTGGTGCTGGAAAAATGTTAGGAAAACCTATTTGGCTGACAAACTAGTGAGAGTGGCCAGTGGAACACAGCTGGTTTCTTGCATTTCTTGAGTATAAACAGTTTATCTTCAGGATGCACAAGGTATTATGTTTGTTAACAGCACTAACATAAATTTGCTGACATTCCTAATTGCACTCAACCCCTTATGCTGAATGGGGGATCTACCTAAAACACAGAAACAGGTTAAAACTCATTCACATATGACATGTGTAGCACAAGGATTGTCTATCTTTTGTCCCCAGCCAGGTAGAAATGAAAAGCACAACTGTGTCCTACTCAGTTCAGCCCAAATTCCTGCTTCTGCTGCTGTGTACATATGTGGCCATTTTTACGTGATGTTTTTAATATTTTAATATATGACACCAATTAGAATTAATAAACTGCAGTATATTCCAGAGCAACTGTCTTGGATTGTATGGTGTTCTGGGGAAGGGCTGCATACAAAGGTTGCTATATGTGCTAAAACTTTTAAACTGTTGGTCATGGAAGTAGCTTTAACTGAGTGAGACTGAATGTTCAGGTTTGTGAAACTCAAAAGATTTAATCCAACAAATGTGGCAAGAGACAGAAAAAAGTACTTGGTTCTGAAAATAGTCCTGATCTTAAATGTGTAAAGTAGCTAACTTGTCTTTCTTTTAAAATACTGTGTAGTTTAACAATATAAAAACTGTTAGACTACAACATACTAAGGTTTTTTTTCCATTATATGCCTCTCTATATGTTTGCACTACATTTTAAAGATAAACATTGTACTTTTTCTCCATGACATTTATTTGAAAGCAACATTTACTAGTTACTTTGCATATTAAGAATTTACACACAATAACCATCTTATAAACTATTAAACTAATTGGAGATTAAACTACACAGCAGTATACAAAGCAGTTTAATTTATAATGTAATAAATTAGCTTCACCCCCAGCAGCTACAATGAAATGCTGCTTAAACAATAGTGCAGCTGTAATAATAAATAAAGAATACTATTTATAATCCACCCACGGGAGCCATTTTTCTGCATAAACAAGTAGTTTTGATACCTTAATTCTGCTGCTGATGCTTACTACTAATGGGATATTTTACATTTCTTCCTGGAAACTGGAGCTTCGCTGTGGTTCTGTTTTTGTTTAAAATCTGACAAACTACTGGATTATGGCATAATCTGCCATGTCTACTCTGTGTTAGTCAAAGTCACCATTATCATATTCCTGACCCTCCAGTGCGAGGAGGGACTCATAGATAAGAACCCAATGATTATGAGGATCCTCTTTGAATATGTTCCAGTAGTATCAAGGACCCAAAGAACCACCAGCAGTGGATCACACACAACCACTTAATAAAATCTGAGAAGTTATGTTGCAAAGTGCAGAAATATAATGAGTGAGGTGCACTGGTGGAGGAAGTATTTAGATCATTTACTTTAGTAAAACCAACAATAATACAACAGAAAAATACTCTATACTAGAGCAAAACAACAAAATGCACTTGCACAATTTCACAGAATAGTCCCTCTCTGTCTTATATAATTACAATGTTGTATTTACATATAAGCACAACTTTAAGGTTGTAGTTGGAAGAGCTCATTTGAACGGTTTAATATAGGTATATGGGTTATGTTCTATAAAAAATGCTTCAAATGTACAAGGTGATCATATAAATGACCTGTAAAATCTGAAAGAAAAAACTCTTTTATATCATTGCATAAAAAGTATGTTTACCCCTGACATGTAATAAATTAGTATAAAGTAGCACATACTCCAAGTATAATACTGCAGTGGATGTACCAGTGCAAAAAAGTGTTTACAATTTATCATTTGATATATCAGAGAGGTCACTCTGTTACAGTCGTCATCTGCTTTGGCACAAGCCTAAATTACCTCAATGGATTTTTTTTTTAAATCATCATTTTCCCCTCATCTTGTACAGCCAGTCACTGGTGTACTAGGCTAATGTGCCATATTAAACTTTTTATCATCATCTCTTGTAAAGCCTTGCAGTGCGATGTGCACCATTAGAAATTCAGAGCTGGATCTCGGCACCAGGGGAAGTCAGCATATTGTGTTACTAGGCAGAATTCAGTTTTAAAAAAATGAAATGTTTTTCTCCATTGTCGCTGCTAGATGGCGATCAAAGTCCCTCCCTCCCTCTCCAACTAGTCCCATAGTCTGATTGGTGTGTAGTGCAATGGTCCCCCTCTCAGCTGTCTCCAAGGCAACCGGGGCTGGGGACAGGGAGAGGGCAGAGTGTGTGTGTGTGTGTGTGTTGTGCGTTTGAGCTGGACCTTCATGACTGACAGCAGTGTTTATGAGGATTGCCAGAGTTTGATGATCAAGCCTGATATTTGTGTAAGAATAAATGATGATCCAAAACTGTGACCTTCAGGTGGAAAAGAAAGAATGTCCTTGACATTGAAAAACAAGCCATGAAGGACATTAACATTATTTCCATGTTTTTCTTAGCTGACACAGCAAAAATAACTCAAATATCACATAGAAATACAAGTTTTAAAGGTACATTAACTTAGACTAACACTGTCTGATAAATCCAGTGAAAATGGCACAGCTATATTATCACTCTACTAATGTATTTTTGATAACATTAGACATAGCAAGGTTATGACTTTACCTTTGTGTTTAATATGATTTTAAATTGGGAGCAATTCAGGCTTTATGTAACATTAATGCTTTGTGTCACATCAGCAGTAACAAGAGCGTTAGTCAACTAAAGCTAGCTTCAGGCTGCAGGCTGCATTTTGCAGACTTTGCCATAATTGGGCATCAGTAGTTTACACTGTAGCGAGGATGGGATGGGAGGAGCATCTTACAGGTTGTCAGTTTATTTCGAGTCTAAGTAGGCCCTCTAGCAGCTGAAAAAGAATTAGGCAGAATAGATTCCAGAAAGTCATTTTAGACATTTTTTGGTCACTAAAAAGATAAAACAGGACATGTTGAATCATCAAAGTGTATTTCTAACAGAACCCCAGAAAGAAATGCTGGAAACATAAACTTCAGCAGACATGACACCGTTTACGCTCTCACCTCAAGGGTCACATACATTTTGTTTGTTTGGGAGTGAGAGGCTAAGTGCAATTTAATAGATTCCATTGATTTTCATTTTGCACAAACATTGAACCCCATGTGCCACTTCCAAGTTCTAATTATGATTTTAATGAGGCTGTTTTGCATGATCCCCACTGAGCCAAAATCAGTGTCTCTTGATGGAAGGAAGTCATGACTGTCTTGTTAGAGTCTGGGCAGATGGTAAAAGGAGGAGAGTAGAAATTGTATGTATATCTTGACAAAGGCCGGGGCACCTAAAAACACATTGGCAGATTTTTTTGGCCACATAGAAAACTTGATAAAAAGCCAGACATGAGGTTTTTAAGCTAATTTTTGAAGTGATAAAAATCCCCCACAAAAAAAACTAATGCTAAATGCTAGAAGTTGTGAAGATAAACATACATGCTCCAGGCACACACACAAAAAATTGTGTAGTGCTGAAACAAACAGAATCATTACAACAATGTGCTTTATGGCTCCTGGTGGAAAGTGTTAATTAAAACTACTCTAATCAATATCTGGATGTTAACAAAGGCTCAAATGACTACACTAATGTGAAAAGGATCACTTATATTGATGAACCCACAGAGAGTTATCATCCAACTTTGTTTTGATTTTACAGCCTTTAACTTTACTGTTTTGGCTCAGTCTCACTGGTCTTATCTGCAACAGGTAGGTCTTTTCAGCACAAAGCTCATATAAGCTCAAATACACTACCCTCCCAGCACAAAATAACTGGCACACAATGTTTGTGACTACTTGGCAAACACATAGGGTAATTTAGCAGCTAAAGAACCTGATATTTCCCTTAGGAGTTAGCAGAAACCAAAGCAGAGCAAACAGAAAAGTGAATCATGGGTCATTTGCTGGATGGCCAGGAACAGTTCTGAACATCTAATGTTGTATTTACAGTGTTGCCCAAATCAATCAATGAACCACAAGACTCCATTAGAATGCTCTAAAACCACTGATCTTCATCAGGCCTCAAAGACTCAAGACTTTCTTCCTGCTGTTGTGCTGATATTAAAAGCATGCACTAACACTTCTTGTACATGTAATGAGTTCAACCTAAAGCCGCATATTTACCTCAGACTCAGAATATGCACAATTAAAGCTTCAATCAATATATAGAAGTGTTTAATGTGATGTGTGACTGACACTAGGTCTCCTCACTTGTCTTGTGGCATTTTTTGACAATCCAAGCCCTTTAGCTGATTACTTTAAGAGCAGTAAATCAGAAGCAAAGGTCTCCACCAAGTAAAGTCATCCTGCCTTGTGAAGTAGAGCAGAACCAAATGACATTATTCTGTGTCACAGTGCCACAGCAGTCAGTGACAATTTCTAGGTTAAGCTCATGACCACTCTGGGCCTAAACAAGGTCTAAAGGTGAACATGATGAAGTTCTGACCAGAGAAAATTTTACTGAACCATCAAACAATACAACTCCTGGCAAATCAATCTCAAGTCCATTTAATTCTGGAGCTTTTAATCTTTCAGTCCTTAAAGTGCTCAGAAAATTTCCCAATAGCTAAGCAAAAAAAATCATATCATGTGGTGCACAGTGGTGCAGTGGTTAGCACCATCAGTTCACAACAAGAACACTAGGATCAAACCTGCTGACCAGCAAATGGTGTCTTGCATGTTGTCCTGGTGCCTGAGTGGGTTTTCTCCAGGTACTCCAGCTTCCTCCCACAGTCCAACGACTCAAGGTTCAACATGGAATACAGAAACTCAATGTGCAGCACATTTTAAAGGGAAAATGACAAGAAATGTCTCAGTTATGACCAAAAACTGTACAAGAGCTCAGCAGTTAATACTCGTATCCCAACTGCATAAGCCCCCTCAAGTTGGTGCTGGGAGAAAATCTGCCAAGCATCAATGCAATCATGAGTTTAAAAGGTAGAATGAGATTAGCACTAAACAAACTGCTAATTAATAACTCAGCATCTCTCAAGTAAAATATTCTACAAATACCGACTCTTCCTGTGATCAGTCCAGAGTCAGGCCTTCATTTCCCTTTGACAGTCGTGCTAAAAAAGAAGAGCGTACTGGAGCACTATAGGCACATAAGCATCCACTGCATGGCAAAGTTAGTGTATGTTACCATAGAGATGGGTCTCACTGGCAGTGCCTTGACAGCATGACAAGAAGCAGGAGAAGAGCTGCTACAGTGGTCTGTGTTCAGCTGCTATGCATGCCTGGTTGGTACTATTTAAAATGGCCACACATCCGATAGAAGGCCAGTGAAACACCAACATGTACATACAGCATATGAAGTAGTGGAAATAAGATTAAATCAGTACGGTTTAAAAATACATAGTGATATACACACAGCTACTCATCTGTTCAGTCAGGTGTAAGGAGGTTATAACTACTTTTATTACAGCAAACTGCTAGCAATGATTTTATGTTACAATCAAAGATGTTCTGTTCTAAAAGGTACAATAGCCTACAACACCATATGTGCACTACTGATGCCATTATGTGTTATGGAACAGGCTAAGACCCAATGTGCAGACCCAAGACTCAGGTTCAGAGAATCAGTTTTATTTAATATGAAGGCAGTGAGGGTAACAAAGAACCAGGAGCTCAACCTGACAGGCCAGAGTAGAAACAGAAGTAAAATAAACTAAGGGTCAGGGAGCAGTCAAACTAACAAATGTGAAGACAAGGAGAAACCCAGGACAGGAAGAGATGAGCAGCAAAAAAAAAAAAAACAGAGTTCTCAGATGGGCAGAGAAAATGTCACAAACCTAGCAGAGTTCTAACACACAAGGGGCAGCTGAGGCAAGGAAGCCAGTCCAGAGGGGGAGTGAGTAGGCATGGGTGCAGGAGACAAGGTGGTGAGACGAAGACAACAAAAGTGTGGAGAGCATACACAAGCCAAATAGGGTGAAGTTTAGCAGGCATAGCAATCACAATGAACCAGCAACCAGGCTGAGGGGAAGGGAGGAGGATATATAAGCAGGAGACCAGGATAATGAGCAACAGGTGGAAACAATGAATAGTGACTGTGAACCGGGGTAAAGCTGGGGCAGGTGAGGTGACACAAAACAGGAAACTAACCAAAATAAAAGCACCAAACAGGACGCAGGACTGCAAACCATAATATTATGTTATTTTGAAAGTGTAAGTTGCACAGTGCAAAATTCAAATTGGGCATAAAAATGACAATGGACACCAGATGAAGAAACCACAGCTCAAAGAGGTTTTAGATGTATTGTTGCAGGGTATGAACACACAGTGTACACATGCTGCTGACGGGGTAAAGCTGTCCACATCAGACACCCAGTGGTTTGTGAAGATTTGTTGTTGCCTGTAAAAACTCCCACTGCAGAAGGGGGGTGGGGGGGGTGGACCGGTCTATATCAACTCAATTTCCACTTAGTTATTTCTGATCTTCTTCATCAGCAAAATTTGCTACAAAGGCCTGAAAAAATGTAGTAAATGTACTTGA